GAAAGGAGGTGTGTGAGAGAGCCTCGTGTGAAGGAGATGTGTGTGTGTGTGTGTGCGTGTGAGAGGGGGGGGGGGGGGGGTGGGGGAGGTGTGTGTGTGTGGGAGAGCCTCGTGTGAAGATTTGTGTGAGGATGTGTGTTAGGCAGAGGGGGGGTGTGAGGGAGATGTATGGATGGAGAGAGCTTCATGTGAGGGGGGGGTTTTGTGTGTGTGTGTGTGTGTGTGTGTGTGTGTGTGTGTGAATCTTGTGTGAAGATGTGTGTGAGAGAGCCTCGTGTGAGAATGTGTGTAAGGGAGAGCTTCATATGGGGGGAGATGTGTGGGTGAGAGAGCCTCGTGGGAGGGAGATGTGTATGTGAGAGAGCCTCGTGGGAGGGAGATGTGTATGTGAGAGAGCCTCGTGGGAGGGAGATGTGTATGTGAGAGAGAGCCTCGTGTGAGGGAGATGTGTATGTGAGAGAGCCTCGTGGGAGGGAGATGTGTATGGGAGAGAGAGCCTCGTGTGAGGGAGGGATGTGTGTGTGAGACAGAGCATCGTGTGAGGGGGGGTGTGTGTGTGTGTGTGTGTGTGTGTGTGTGTGTGAGAGAGAGAGCCTCGTGTGACGGAGATGTCTGTGTGAGACAGAGCATCGTGTGAGGGAGGGTGTGTGTGTGTGTGTGTGTGAGAGAGAGAGCAAGAGAGAGAGCCTCGTGTGGAGGTGTGTGTGTGTAAGAGAGAGCTTTGTGTGTGAGCAAGAGAGAGAGCCTCGTGTGGAGGTGTGTGTGTGTGAGTGAGCCTCATGTGAAGGAGATGTGTGAGAGAGAGCCTCCTATGAAGGAGATGTGTGTGACAGAGAGCCTCGTGTGAAGATTTGTGTGAGGATGTGTGTAAGGGAGAGCCTCGTGTGAGGGAGAAGTATGGATGAGAGAGCCTCATGTGAGGGAGATGTGTGTGTGTGTGTGAGAGAGAGAGAGAGAATATTGTGTGAAGATGATGTGTGTAAGAGAGCCTTGTGTGAAGATTTGTGTGAGAATGTGTGTAAGGGAGAGCCTCATGTGAGGAAGATGTGTGGGTGAGAGAGCCTCGTGTGTGGGAGATGTGTATGAGAGAGAGCCTCATGTGAAGATTTATGAGGATGTGTGTAAGGGAGAGCCTCATGTGAGGGAGATGTGTGTAACGGAGTCATGTGTGAGGGAGGTATGTGAATTGCCATAGGTAATGGAAATGGAGTGAAGGAACCGCATTCGGGGGGACCCATGCATGAGATAGATGTCTGTGAGGGATATGTATGTAACGGAGTCACGTGTGAGGGAGGTATGTGAATCGCCATAGGTATGGGAAACGGAGTGAAGGAACTGCATTTGGGGGACCCATGCATGAGAAAGGTGTATGTGATGGAGCCACGTGTGAGGGAGATTTGTGTGATGGAACTACATCTGAGGGAGCTACATCTGAGGGAAATGTGTGTGAGGGAGCTACATCTGAGGGAAATGTGTGTGAGGGAGCTACATCTGAGGGAAGTGTGTGAGGGAGCCACTTGTGAGGGAAATGTGTGATGCAGCCACGTGTGAGGGAAATGTGTTTGATGGAGCCACGTGAGGGAAATGTGTTTGATGGAGCCACGTGTGAGGGAAATGTGTTTGATGGAGCCACGTGTGAGGGAGACGTGTTTGATGGAGCCACATGTGAGGGAGACGTGTTTGATGGAGCCACGTGTGAGGAAAGTGTGTGCGAAGGAAATGTTTGTAAGGGAGCCACATGTGAGGGAGACATGTTTGATGGAGCCACATGTGAGGGAGACGTGTTTGATAGAGCCACGTGTGAGGAAAATGTGTGCAAGGGAAATGTTTGTAAGGGAGCCACATGTGAGGGAAATGTGTGTGATGGAGCCACGTGTGACATAGAGGGGCTGCGGTTTAGGTGCCATACATAGGCCAATATTTCATATGGGTTAGCTAACAGTGGTGATAATTGTGTCATTCCAGTGAGCAACATGACAACAGCATTATTGATCGGTCACTGTAAAGAACATGTTAGCGTTAGCAATCTCTGATAAGCAGGGTACAGTTATTGATCTGTCTGTGATCAGCATGTTAGAGTTACTGATCAGTCTCAGATAAGAGAAAGTGTTAGCATTATTGATCGGTCTCTGATAAGAGCGTGTTAGCGTCACTGATAGGAAAGTCGTCATTACTGATCGGTCACTGATAAGAACACGTCAGTGTTATTGATCAGTCTTTGATAAGTACATGTCAGCATCACTTATTACTCACTGATCAGAACATCAGTGTTACTGATTGGTCACTGATAAGGGCATGTTAGTATTATTGATCAGTCTCTGATAAGAGCATGTTAGCGTTATTGATCGGTCACTGATGAGAACATCACAGCATCATTTATTGGTCACGGATTAGGTCAGTGTTATTGTTTGATCACTAATAACAACATGTCAGTGTTAGTTGCTGGATCACTTATCAGCCAATTGGTCAACAAAAAATATGTAAACATTTAGCCAAAAGATATGAAAAAACTGCCTTGTGCGTGCCCCTAAAGGCTCTCTCCCCCTAGCACTGGATAGAAGGTGTGAGTTCAGGCTGCTTAACCCTGCACTGGATAGAATTTTTTGAGGTGTCAATGAAGGATGCTCTATCCAGTACTGGACAGAATGTGAGGTGTTGGCGAAGGATGCTTTACTTAATACTGGATAGAATGTGAGGTGTTGGTGAAGGACGCTCTGCTTAACAGTGGATAGAATGTAAGGTGTCAGTGGAGGACGCTCTACTTAATACTGGATAGATGTCAGTGAAGGGCTGTTCCCCACCCAGCATTGGGTAGAATGTGAGGTGTCAGTGAAGAATGCTCCACCCAATGCCGGATAGAATGTGAGGTGTCAATGAAAATGCTCCACCCAATACTGGATAGCATAGGAAGCGTCAATGAAGGATGCTCCATCCAATACTGGCTAGACTGTGGTGTCAGTGAAGGATGCTCCACCAAATACTGGATAGAATAGGAGGTGTCAATGAAGGATGCTCCATTCAGTACTGGATCGAATGTGAGGTGTCAATGAAGGATGCTCCATACATTACTGGATAGAATAGGAGGTGTCAATGAAGGATGCTCCATCCAATACTGGCTAGACTGTGGTGTCAGTGAAGGATGCTCCACCAAATACTGGATAGAATAGGAGGTGTCAATGAAGGATGCTCCATTCAATACTGGATAGAATAGGAGGTGTCAATGAAGGATGCTCCATTCAATACTAGATAGAATAGGAGGTGTCAATGAAGGATGCTCCATCCAATACTGGATAGAATGTGAGGTGTCAGTGAAGGATGCTCTACTCAATACTGGATAGAATAGCAGGTGTCAATGAAGGATGCTCCACCCAATACTGGATAGAATGTGAGGTGTCAATGAAAATGCTCCACCCAATACTGGATAGAATAGGAAGAGTCAATGAAGGATGCTCCATCCAATACTGGATAGAATAGGAGGTGTCAATAAAGGATGCTCCATCCAGTACTGGATTGAATGTGAGGTGTCAATGAAGGATGCTCCATACATTACTGGATAGAATAGGAGGTGTCAATGAAGGATGCTCCATTCAATACTGGATAGAATAGGAGGTGTCAATGAAGGATGCTCCATTCAATACTAGATAGAATAGGAGGTGTAAATGAAGGATGCTCCATCCTATGCTGGATAGAATGTGAGGTGTCAATGAAGGATGCTCCATCCAATACTGGATAGAATAGGAGGTGTCAATGAAGGATGCTCCATGCAATACTGGATAGAATGTGAGGTGTAAATGAAGGATGCTCCATCCAATAACTGGATAGAATGTGAGGTGTCGGTGAAGAACGCTTCAGCCAATACTGGATTGAATAGGTGTCAATGAAGGATGCTCCATCCAATACTGGATAGAATAGGAGGTGTCAATAAAGGATGCTCCATCCAGTACTGGATTGAATGTGAGGTGTCAATGAAGGATGCTCCATACATTACTGGATAGAATAGGAGGTGTCAATGAAGGATGCTCCATTCAAAACTGGATAGAATAGGAGGTGTCAATGAAGGATGCTCCATTCAATACTAGATAGAATAGGAGGTGTAAATGAAGGATGCTCCATCCTATGCTGGATAGAATGTGAGGTGTCAATGAAGGATGCTCCATCCAATACTGGATAGAATAGGAGGTGTCAATGAAGGATGCTCCATGCAATACTGGATAGAATAGGAGGTGTCAATGAAGGATGCTCCATTCAATACTAGATAGAATAGGAGGTGTAAATGAAGGATGCTCCATCCTATGCTGGATAGAATGTGAGGTGTCAATGAAGGATGCTCCATCCAATACTGGATAGAATAGGATGGGTGTCAATGAAGGATGCTCCATGCAATACTGGATAGAATGTGAGGTGTAAATGAAGGATGCTCCATCCAATAACTGGATAGAATGTGAGGTGTCGGTGAAGAACGCTTCAGCCAATACTGGATTGAATAGGTGTCAATGAAGGGCGTTTCACCCAGTATTTGGATAGAACATGAGGTGTCGGTGAAGGACACGTCACCCAACACAGGATAGAATAGGTGTCAGTGAAGGGCATTTCACCCAGCATTTGGATAGAATATGAGGTATCGGTGAAGGACGCTTCACCCAATACTGGATAGAATAGGCGTCAGTGAAGGGTGTTTCACCCAGCAGTGGATAGAATATGAGGTGTTGGTGAAGGATGCTTCACCCAGCATTGGACAGAAGAGCATGCACGGGGCAGAGCACTCTAACATGGGATACCATAAAAAAAATTTTCTCCACTCACAATCTGACAACCTGGAATGTTTATGGGACGAGCACATGAACCAGCCATGCAATACTCCATAATATTCACAATATGAGGACATACAGCATAACGGGGGGCCAGTACTGTGCGGCCAGCCTTAGCCCTAGGAGCTCACAATTCTGCTGCAGCATACTAGGCTGCGCTTGAAACCGTCTTGTGCAGAGCTGTGAAAGGTTCTATGATCCATCAGACCTCAAGGGCTCGTTGGGTCCTCCAGAGTGTCCATGCGTCTTCTGGTGACGCTTATAATTGTCCCAGTGGCCGGTGGTGTAGTGGCACTGCGCGCAGCGAAGCGGCTTCTCGCCAGTGTGGCGCAGCATGTGACGTTTGAGGTTCATGCTTTGGTTACAGCTGTAGTTACATAGACTGCAGCGGAAGGGCTTGTCCCCGGAGTGGATGCGCCCATGCCTCTTTAGGTTGGCGAGGTTGCCGCAGGCGTAGTCACACAGCTGGCACTTGTAGGGCTTTTCCCCGGTGTGAACCCGCTGGTGTCTCTTTAGGTTGTCGTAATGTGCCGAGGCGTAGGAGCACAGGTGGCACTTGTAGGGCTTCTCCCCGCTGTGCGTTTTCATGTGGCGGGATAAATGGTTCGCGTAATGGGTGACAAACGGGCACAGGACGCAGGAGAAGCCTTTGTCGGGGCTCCCCGAAGGGCTACAGCGCGAGCAGAACTGTCCGTCCATCTCACCATCATCATCCTGAGGGCTGCCTTCATCCAGGACTGTGCCGCAAGAGCGGCATGTGAAGGGGAAAAGCAGCTCCGGGAGGCCGTCATCTGCCGAAGGCTGCAGAACGGGCGAGGATGGGGCGCGGCTTAAGCGGACACAAGCTGGCAGAAAGACTTCCAGGTCATCGGAGGTCACCGGGAGGGCCAGGGCTGCCGCAGACACATCTGCAGTGAGAGGAGGAGAAACATTAGATGAGGCCAGGGACATCAGAGGAACGGGGAGGACCTCTCAACATGTCACCTGGGATGGGGGGGATAGGGATGGCCCTACCAAAAGAGGGGGGGGGGGTGACACTGGGGATGGAAATACTCTCCATGTGGGAGGAGCAAACTTCATTAGACAGGGTAAAGTAGGTCTCACAGGTCCTAGCTGGCTGTCATCCTGTAGCAGGAGGGGCAGACAAGGTCCTACAGGTTGTTTCTGTGTCACCCTACAGTGGAAAGGGGCAAACAATTCCACATCCTGTAGCTTCCTTCAGAGTCACCTCGCAGTGGGAGGGGTTATATCAAAGATCTCTTATAGCCATCATGCAATGGAAGGGGGCAGACTAGTTTTCACAGGTCCATGCTGTCACCCTGCACTGGGAGGAACCTGCTCACATGTCTTGTATGAGTCTCCATGCAGTGGGAGGGGCAGAATTCCATGCTTAGCTGACCATTTTTATGTCACCCTGTAGTGGCAGGAGCAGACCTGGTCTTACAGGTCCATGCCATGTCACCCTGGGGTAGCAGAAACTAGCTCACAGACTTTCTCTGAGTCACCATGCAGTGGAATGGGTTTACTCCACATCCTGTAGCTCCCTTCATAGTCACCCTGTAGTAGGAGGGACAGAATTCCATGCTTAGCTGATCTTATCTGTCACCCTGCATGGGGAGGGGCAGACAAGGTCTTACAGGTCCACAATGTGTCACACTATGTAGTTGGAGGAGCAGAAAAGGTCCTACTGGTCCATACTGTGTCACCCTGCAGTGGGAGGGGACAAGACAAGGTCCCTCACCCTCTAGTGGGAGAGGCAGACAAGGTCCTACTGGTCCATACTGTGTCACCCTGACATGGGAGGGCAGACAAGATCTAACAGGTCCATACTGTGTCACCCTGCAGTGGGAGGGGCAGACAAGATCTAACAGGACCATGCTGTGGCACCCTGTAGTGGGAGGGGCAGACAAGATCTAACACGTCCATGCTGTGTCACCCTGGAGTAGGAGGAATTGGTCTTGCCTCAGTCATCATGCAGTGGAATGGGCTGACTCCATATCCTGTAGCTCCCTTCATAGTCACCCTGTAGTGGGAGGGGCAGAATACTATGCTTAACTGATCTCTACTGTGTCATTCTTCACTGGGAGGGGCAGGCAAGGTCTTACAGGCCCATGCTGTGTCACACCCTATAGTTGAAGGAGCAAGAAAAAGTCCTACAGGTCTATGCTGTGTCACCGTGCAGTGGGAGGGGCAGACACGGCCCTAGAGGTCCATGCTGTGAGGGGCAGGAAGAGTCCAACAGGTCCATGCTGTGTCACCCTGCAGTGGGAGAGGCATATAAGGTCCTACAGGTCTATGCTGTGTCACCCTGCAGTCCAGGGAATAGATAAGGTCCTACAGGTCTATGCTGTGCCACCCCGCAGTGGAAAGGACAGATAAGGTCTTACAGGTCCATGCTGTGTCACCCTGCAATGGGAGGGGCAGATAAGGTCCTACAGGTCTATGCTGTGTCACTGCCGGAAGGCAATAAGGGTTTATGCTGGGCAGTCCAGGGAATAGATAAGGTCCTACAGGTCTATGCTGTGTCACCCTGCAGTCCATGCTGGAGTGGGAAGGGCAGATAAGGTCCTACAGGTCTATGCTGTGCCACCCCGCAGTGTAAGGGACAGATAAGGTCTTACAGGTCTATGCTGTGTCACCCTGCAGTGGGAAGGGCAGATAAGGTCCTACAGGTCTATGCTGTGTCACCCTGCAATGGGAGGGGCAGATAAGGTCCTACAGGTCTATGCTGTGTCACCCTGCAGTCCAGGGAGTAGATAAGGTCCTACAGGTCTATGCTGTGTCACCCTGCAGTGTAAGGGACAGATAAGGTCTTACAGGTCTATGCTGTGTCACCCTGCAGTGGGAAGGGCAGATAAGGTCCTACAGGTCTATGCTGTGCCACACTGCAGCGGAAGGAACAGATAAGGTCCTACAGGTTTATGCTGTGTCACCCTGCAGTCCAGGGAATAGATAAGGTCCTACAGTTCTATGCTGTGTCACCCCGCAGTGGAAAGGACAGATAAGGTCTTACAGGTCCATGCTGTGTCACCCTGCAGTGGGAAGGGCAGATAAGGTCCTACAGGTCTATGCTGTGTCACCCTGCAGTCGGAGGAGTTGATAAGGTCCTACAGGTCTATGCTGTGCCACCCCGCAGTGGAAGGGACAGGTAAGGTCTTACAGGTCTATGCTGTGTCACCCTGCAGTGGGAGGGGCAGATAAAGTTCTACAGGTCTATACTTTGTCACCCTGCAGTGGGAGGAGCAGACGAGGTCTTACAGATACATGCAGTGTCAACTTGTAGTAGGAGGAATTGGCTCACAGGTCTCAGTTCTGTCACCATGCAGAAGGAGAAAGGGTTGACTCCATGTCCTGTAGCTCCATTCACAGTCACCATGCAGTATGGTAGGGCAGACTCCCATCCTTAGCTGATCCCTTCCATGTCACCCTACAGTGGGAGGGGAAGACAAGGTCATACAGGTCCACACTGTGTCACCCTGCAGATGAATCAGAGGTCTTATTTCAGTCACCATGCAGTGGGAGAAGGAGTTGACTCCATGTCTTGTAGATCCCATCATAGTCACCCTGCTGAGGGAGGAGCTGCCCACAGGTCTAGTTTAAGTCCCCTTGTAATGGGAGGAGCATACGCTATCCTCTTTGTTATCTTTCTTTGGGTGGGGCAAACTATTTCACACAGGTCCCTGCTGTGTGTGCCATCCTGGAGATTGGGGGAATCATTGGGTAAGGAAAGTCGACGTTATGTTTCAAAACAACATATTGTGTCCTCCTGAGGTAGAAGGAGGATAATCCATTATTATGTCACCCTGCAATGAGAGGGGCAAACTCTGCATTACAGTTAGCTTTGGTCAGGGTACATGGGCATATCATGATGGATGTGACAGGGATGGAATGTGATGAGTCCTGAAACTGACCATCAGGGGGAGCGCTCCTCGCCTCTTTGTCCCCTTCACGCCTTTCCTTCTGCTGCCCCCTCCGGTGCGCCAGGATGTGGCGTTTAAGGTTGCGGCTCTGGTTACAGCGGTAAGGGCACAGGTGGCAGGTGAAGGGTTTGTCCTGGGTGTGGACCTTCTGGTGGCGTTTCAGGTTGCCTGGACTGCTGCAGGAGAAGGTGCAGAGTTCGCAGTGGAAAGGCTTCTCCCCGGTGTGAGTCAGAAGATGGCGCTTGAGGTTGACGAGCTGAGAAGAGGCGTAAAGGCAGTGCGGGCAGCGGAAGGGCTTCTCCCCGTTGTGAGTCTTCATGTGCCGCTTGAGGTGGCTGGAGTAATGAGTGGAGAGAAGGGACACAAACGGCAGGAGAAAAGTAGCCTTTCCTTCTCTGAGGTCACATCCTGGGGGGAGGAGGCCTCACGGTGCTCCAGGTACTGACAGCGGCTACTTTCCGTCGTCTCACAGGGCCCGCAGGGAGACGGCAGACCCCCCCACACCCGCCTCTTCTGGATCGCTGTCCGTGCTGAGCGGCCGGTACGCCGAATATTCATCCTCGCTTAACGGGTAACGTGGGATCTCCAACTTGGATTCCACTGAATCTGTGGGGACAATATAGAACGACTAAATACCAAGGAGTAGGCAAATATAATCGCAAGCTGAACAGACTCTGCCCACATACTGTATATACATCTATATCAGCCTTTCTCAACTGAGGTGCCTTGAGGTTTCTTCAGGGTTGCCTTGGCAAAATGTCTAAAAATTGCCCAAAACTTGTATACAAGCTAGACCAGGGGTGGGCAAACTTTTTGACTTGAGGGCCGCAATGGGTTCATATATTGGACCCGGGGGCCGGACCAAGAGTAGATGAATGATGTGTATGTGTCATCCATAGTAAGTATAGTAATATTCCCCCATAGTAAGCATAGTAATTCATCCCCCATATAGTAATTCATCCCCCCTATAGTAATTCATCCCCCATATAGTAATTCATCCCCCCTATAGTAATTCATCCCCCCTATAGTAATTCATCCCCCATATAGTAATTCATTCCCCATATTAATTCATCCCTCATATAGTATTTTATCCCCACAGTACTATTCCCCCCCAAGTAGTAAGCCAAGTCCCCCCTGTGTCAATTCACTTACCTTTGCTCCGCGCGTTCCTCTCGCCGTGTTCCCGCGCCGTTCCGGTCTTCAGGGCGACTGTGAGAGGAACCTAGCTCCCCTCCCCTCACATTCGTCACGCTGCCCCGCCTACACACATCCCGACAGCCAATGTATCACTCTCCGCGGGCCGGATTAAAAGGTCCGACGGGCCGTAGTTTGCCCATTGCTGAGCTAGAGGGTGGAACAAGTCCGCCTTTTAGTTACACCAAGCCACAGGTTTTCATTGTGCGCCATTACGACCTTCTAGCCGCCAGTGTCCTGACAACCAATGACATCTTTAGTCGATAAGGAGGGTGTCAGCTACCTGCACAGCATCCTAGTTTAACCCTCCCCTGCCCCTCTCCATCAGTGCTGGGGTCACATTAGCTCAGTGAGGGAGAAGAGAAACACTGGAATACTACTCTGTACCAGTGTGGAAATGTGTATTTGCTTTGGAAGAATAAATCACCTCTAATGTTGGGTGTCCTACATGTGTGGAAGTTGCTGCGTTACATAAAATTATTAGAATAGTTTTTCACATTTTAGAATGGGGTGCCTCAAGACTGTCCATATTTTAAAGGGTGCCTCGGGCCTTGACTTGACTGAAAAAAGGTTGAGAAACATTGATCTATATACACACACACAACCTCTGTTTATACAGTCAAAGTCTACTAATACACTATATTTCCAAAAGTATTGGTCTCCTGCCTTTCACACACACATGACCTTTAATGGCCCCCCAGTCTTAGTCCGTAGGGTTCAATATTGAGTTGGCCCCGCCCTTTGCAGCTATAACAGCTTTAACTCTTCTGGGAAGGCCGTCCACAAGGTTTAGGAGGGTGTCTATGGGAAGGTTGGACCATTCTTCCAGAAGCACATTTGTGAGGTCAGGCACTGATGTCGGGGGAGGAGGTCTGGCTCGCAGTCTCCACTCTAATTCATCCCAAAGGTGTTCTATGGGGTTGAGGTCAGGACTCTGTGCAGGACAGTCAAGTTCCTCCACCCCAAACTGGCTCCTCCATGTCTTTATGGATCTTGCTTTGTGCACTGGTGCGCAGTCATGTTGGAACAGGAAGGGGCCATCCCCAAACTCTTCCCACAAAGTTGGGAGCATGAAATTGTCCAAAATGTCTAGGTATGCTGACGCCTTAAGAGTTCCCTTCACTGGAACTAGGGGGCCAAGCCCAACCCCTGAAAAACAAGCCCACACCATAGTCCCCCCTCCACCAAACTTTACACTTGGCACAATACAGTCAGGCAAGTACCGTTGTCCTGGCAACCGCCGAACCCAGACACGTTCTTCACATTGCCACACAGAGAAGCGTGATTGGTCACTCCAGAGAAACATGTCTCCACTGCTCAAGTCCAGTGGTGGCGTGCTTTACACCACTGCAACCAACGCTTTGCATTGCACTTGGTGATGTAAGGCTTGGATGCAGCTGCTCGGCCATGGAAACCCATTCCATGAAGCTCTCTACGCACTGGTGTTGTGCTCATCTGAAGGCCACACCAAGTTTGGAGGTCTTTAGCACACTGTGCGCTTCAGCATGCGCTGACCCTGCTCTGTCATGTGACGTGGCCTACCACTTGGTGGCTGAGTTGCTGTTGTTCCCAGTTGCTTCCACTTTGTTATAATCCCACTAACAGTTGAGCGTGGAATATTGAGTAGCCAGGAAATGTCACAGATGGACTTATTGCACAGGTGGCCACCTATCCCGGGACCACGCTTGGAGTCACTGAGCTCCTGAGAGCGACCCATTCTATCACAAATGTTTGTAGAAGCAGTCTGCATGCCTAGGGGCTTGATTGTATACACTTGTGTCCATGGAGGGGATTGGAACACCTGAATCCAATGATTTGGAGGGCGGGGCCAATACTTTTGGCAATATAGTGTACATTAAATACATCTTTACAAAGAACCCACCCATGTACCTGGATGATCAGTTCCCTGGTATAAGATCTGTATATACAGCACCCTATTGGGAAGAGACACTCATCTCCACCGGTAAACAACACACTAAGGCACAAGTGTCAAACTGCGGCCCTCCAGCTCTTGAGGAACTAGTCCCATCATGCCTCTGCCTTTGGGAGTCATGTTTGTAACTGTCAGCCTTGCAATACCTCATGGGGTTGGTAGTTCCGCAACAGCTGGAAGGCTGCAGTTTGACATCCCTGGGGGAGGGGATACTCACCACTCACCAGTATACAGTACCCTAGGAGTAGGAGCAATTCGCCCTCTACTGGTATTCAGCACCCTATGGGGAGGGCACACTCACCAACCACCAGTATACAGTAGCCTATGGGTAGGAGAAATTCGCCCTCCACCAATATACAGCACCCTATAGTGAGGAGACAATCACCCTCCACTGGTATACAGCATCCTATGGGAAGGGGAGACACTGGTCCTTTACTGGTATACAGCACCCTATGGGAAGGGGAGACTCACCAACCACCAGTATACAGCACCCTATGAGGAAGGAGACACTCACCATCCACCGGTATACAGCACCCTATTGGGAGGGGAGACTCACCATCCACCGGTATACAGCACCCTATGTGGAGGGGAGACTCACCATCCACCGGTATACAGCACTCTATGGGGAGGGGAGACTCACCATCCACCGGTATACAGCACCCTATGGGGAGGGGAGACTCACCATCCACCGGTATACAGCACCCTATGGGGAGGGGGAGACTCACCATCCACCGGTATACAGCACCCTATGGGGAGGGGAGACTCACCATCCACAGGTATACAGCACCCTATGGGGAGGGGAGACTCACCATCCACCGGTATACAGCACTCTATGGGGAGGGGAGACTCACCATCCACAGGTATACAGCACCCTATGGGGAGGGGAGACTCACCATCCACCGGTATACAGCACCCTATGGGGAGGGGAGACTCACCATCCAGCGGTATACAGCACCCTATGGGGAGGGGAGACTCACCATCCACCAGTATACAGCACCCTATGGGGAGGGGAGACTCACCATCCACAGGTATACAGCACCCTATGGGGAGGGGAGACTCACCATCCACCGGTATACAGCACCCTATGGGGAGGGGAGACTCACCATCCACCGGTATACAGCACCCTATGGGGGGGGGGGGGGGAGAGAGACTTACCATCCATCGGTACACAGCACCCTATACGATGGAGACACTCAGAATACAGCACCACTATAGGATGGGACACTCACCCTCAGAGTCCCGGGAGAAGGAAAGAAGACGCTCAGTGCCATCACACAGCTCTACATCATCACCCAGGAGAAGATTGGACTCTAGGACCACAGTGCTGGCACCAGAACCTAGAGGCTCTGTCCCTCCACCACCTGTCAAGTCATAGGAAACAAAAATTACATAAGGAAATGTGTATTTGCTCCCCTGCTGATGTTGAATGTTTGCCCACTCACAAAGAAATGATCGGTCTAAAAATCAAATGTTCGGTGTATTGTAACACTGAGAGACAGAATAGCAACAACAAATTCAGCAGAAATGCGTCTAACAAATGATGACTGATTTGTATGTTCATGAGGGAAATAAGTATTTGATCCCCTTCACAAAACATGACTTAGTACATGGTGGCAAATCCCTTGTTGGCAATCACAAGGTCAGACGTTTCCTGTAGTTGGCCCCCATGTTTGCACACATCTCAGGAGGGATTTTGGCCCACTCCTCTTGGCAGATCCTCTCCAAGTCATTAAGGTTTGGTGGCTGACGTTTGGCAACTCGAACTTTCAGCTCCCTCCACAGATTTTCAATCGGATTAAGGTCTGGAGACTGGCTAGGCCACTCCAGGACCTTAATGTGCTTCTTCTTGAGCCACTCCTTTGTTGCCTTGGCCATGTGTTTTGGGTCATTGTCATGCTGGAACACCCATCCACGACCCATTTTCAATGCCCTGGCTGAAGGAAGAAGGTTCTCACCCAAGATTTGATGGTACATTGCCCCGTCCATCGTCCCTTTGATGCGGTGCAGTTGTCCTGTCCCCTTAGCAGAAAAACACCCCCAAAGCAGAATGTTTCCACCACCATGTTTCACAGTTGGGATGGTGTTCTTGGGGTCATAGGCAGCATTTCTCCTCCTCCATGCACGGCGAGTTGAGTTGATGCCAAAGAGCTCAATTTTGGTCTCATCTGACCACAACACTATCAACCAGTCCT